TGCTCTTGGGAGCTGTGAGCAATAAAAACTTCTTACAGGGGCCACAAACTCTCCTAGTCTCCATTCGGTCACCTCTGTAAATTAAAACCCCGTGGTTAGCCCGGCCGGCGTGGCTCAGTGGTTGATCATCGACCTATGAACCAGGAGGCCACAGTTCGGGTCCGGGTCAGGGCACATTCCCGGGTTGAGGGCTCCATCCCCAGTGTGGGGCCTGCAGGAGGAATTTGTTCAATGATTCTCTCTCATCGTTGATGTTTCTCTCTCTTTCCCTCTCCATTCCCCTCTGAAATCAATCAAAATATCTTAAAAATATATATACAGCCCAGCTGGTATGGCTCAGTGGTTAAGCATTAACCCAGGAACCAGGTCAGGATTCGATTTTTGGTCTGGGCAAATGCCTGGGTTGTGAGCTTGATCCCCCAGAGGGTGTGTGCAGGAGGCAGCCGATCAATGACGTTCCTCTCTCATTGACGTTTCTAGCTCTCTCTCCTTTGCCTTTCCTGTCTTTAAAAAAAATCAATAAAAACATTTAGAACAAAACAAGGCCATGGGTATAATCAAGATCATTGCTGTAGGGAGCAGGGGGACTGTGCCACAGGCCATGCATTCCTGCTTGCTCTCTGGCTAACTGGGTTCATTCAAGGGCCTACCCTGAGGAGCTGGGGGTGGGGGGGTGGGGGGGGATATGCTGTGCCTGTGTACCGGCCTCAGGACCCCAACCTCAATGATAAGATCTCATCCTGGGCCCCGTGGCTCAGTGGTTAGAGCACCAGACTGCACATGGAAGGGAGGGCTGAGGGCTGGCTTCCCAGTCAAGGGCACGTACCTGGGTTTCAGGTTCACCCCCCCTCTCCATCGGGGTGGGTGTGGGGGAGGCAACCAATTGATGTTTCTCTCACATCGATGTTTCTCTCTCTCCTTCCCCCTCCCTCCCTCCCAGTCCCTCAGAAAAGCAATGGGAAAAATATTCTCAAGTGAGGACTAAAGATAAAAAAGACCTCCAAGGCGTGGGCCTTTCTGGACATCTTCACTCGGTCTTCAGTGCGGAGTTTCCTGGGGTGTGCAATGGGCCCACTGGGTGCCATGTGGTTCCCGGCCCGACGCACCCAGAGGCCCTAAGACAATTGGTTCGCAGACAAGGCACAGGCCTAGGAGTCAGGAATGGTTTCCCTCCACGCAGGTGTCAGGGGCCCTGGCCGGTGGGGCTCCGCTGGTTGGAGAGTGGCCCAGTATACCGAGAGGTCACGGGTTGGGGTCCCAGTCAGGGCACACCCCAGTTGGCAAGTTCCATCCCCGGGTCTGGGTGCCTAAGGGAGGCAACCAATGTTTCTCTTATATCGGTGATTCTCTCTCTCTCTAAAATCAACAAAAATATACCCTCAGGTGGGAGAAGATGAAAAAAAATAATAAAGTTTCACTGTCATTAAGAAAGAAAAAAAAGGTGTTTGGAGTGAGATGACCCTGCAACACCAGCCAGCGTGGGCCATCCCTCTCCTCCCGACTCTTGTGGGCAGAACTGCATTGGTCGGTGTGTACGGAGGACGTCCTGCCGACACTGGCAGCGCGCGGACTAGAGTTAAAGGGACTCAGAGGTCGTGCGGGGTGTGGGGTGCGGGGTGCGGGGCCTCCTGAGGAACCACGGTACACAGACAGCTTAACTGTTGCTTCAGGGGCAACTCTTTGCTGTTGCTTACGCTTTGGAAAAGTTTGCCCACGTGTATGTAAATATACACTTCCGAGGCAGCCAAGCAACAAGTCTCTCATCATTGATGTTTCTCTCCTTCTCCCTCCCTCTCTGCAATCAATAAAACTATATTTTAAAAAACACAAAAACTGTTCCATAGGGCAAAGAAGTCACTCAGGTCCCTGAGGAATGAGTGACATTCCAACAACATGTTTGGATGCACTGTCATCCCATTAATTAAAACAATAAATTCAGCCCTAACCGGTTTGGCTCAGTGGATAGAGCATCGGCCTGTGGACTGAAGGGTCCCAGGTTTGATTCCGGTCAAGGGCATGTACCTTGGTTGCGGGCACATCCCCAGTAGGGCGTGTGCAGGAGGCAGCTGATTGAGGTTTCTCTCTCATCGAGGTTTCTAACTTCTATCCCTCTCCCTTCCTCTCTGTAAAAAATCAATAAAAATATGTTAACAAACAAACAAAAACAATAAATTCGTAAAAAGGGAACAGGCAGAGATTCTGAGCAGACATGTTACCAAAGGAGATAGAGACAGTGTGTTCATAAATAAATGCATGGGCACATGCTCACCCTCGTGAATTGTTAGGGAAATGGAACTGAAACAAACAAGTCGCCACTACACTGATATCCAGGGATATTTTAAAAAATTAGCCACAGGAGGGGCCGGCCAAGTTGCAGAAGAAAAGGAATCTTCCTACCCTGTGGGATGGCGGGAAGGCAGAGGGAACAACCGTTTTAGATCGCAGTTCCGCATTTTTTAAAAATGTCAGCACTTATCTACATTGTAAGATTGAGAAACACAGCACGTATCGACATAAAGAGCCCGGAATGCACATATTCATAGCAGCTTTATTTGTAATACCGCAAACCCGGGAGTAACCCTAACCGTAGGCAGATCAATGGGTAAACAAAGGGGTTATTTACAGTTCAGACTACTCCTAGCAGGAAAGGAATTAGCTATTCACATCAGCTTGACGGCTGGAATCTTGAAATAACTGTGCAGCATGAAGGAAACCGTATACACCTGTGACGTTACAGAAACTACCAACTAATCTACTGTAAGTAAAGGGAAGTCAGTGGCTGCATCAGGGCCGGGACGGGCGGGGAGAGATCATTAAGGGCAGGGGGCAAACACAGGGCGGAGCGAACGGAGACCGACAGTATGGAAATCAACATAATTAATAAATAATTCAGGAATGAACTCCATGTTGCACGTGCTCGCTACTGGACATCTGCAATTGTCCCACCCTGCGTGTGAGCGACAGGCCAGTCCACTTCCTGTGTGATGGTCTCATAGCTTTATCCGTGTCAAAGCTCACCGAACAGCACACACTGGGTAAGTGCACTTGGCCGCATGTGAAGTATACATATGTACATGAGTGAATAAAGCTTTCGACACCGCTCCCATGCAGGCCTGAAGTCCCCCTTGGCTGAGGGCGTCGGGTTGGCCGGCCTGTGCGGCCTCCACCTCTCCCCTCAGGTCCGGGAGGGGCAGCCTTGCGGAGGGGCAGCGGAGACGGGCACACGAGGAAGACTCCTGCCCTCGGAGTCACAGGAATGCTGACGGGTCGCAAAGGACGTCCTGGGAATGGCTACAGTAAATCTGTCACCTGGCTTCCCGGCTCAGTTTGCTTGTCTGTAGAGCAATGGCCAGCAGGTGCACATCTCAGACAGGCTAGGCCCGTGGTCGGCAAACTCATTAGTCAACAGAGCCAAATATCAACAGCACAACGATTAAAATTTCTTTTGAGAGCCAAATTTTTTAAACTTAAACTCTATAGGTAGGTACATTGTTATTAACTTAATTAGGGTGCTCCTAAGGCTTAGGAAGAGCCACACTCGAGGGGCCAAAGAGCCGCACGTGGCTCGCGTGCCGCAGTTTGCCGACCACGGGGCTAGGGGATCCACAAAGCTGCTAGAGGCAGTGATAAAGGTCAGGAGAGGGTCTGTAGCCACGGACCACAGAAGCCACAGGCCCTGGAGCATCTGTGGCTGAGCTTTCAGAAGAGAGACCTTCGTTCTGCCTGGGCCGGTGTGGCTCAGTGGATAGAGCCTCGGCCTGCGGACTGAAGGGTCCCAGGTTCGATTCCAGTCAAGGGTACGTGCCTGGGTTGTGGGCTCGATCCCCAGTGTGGGGCGTGCAGGAGGCAGACAATTCATGATTCTCTCTCATCATCTCTCATCATTGATGTTTCTCTCTCTCTCCCTTCCTCTCTGAAATCAATAAAAATATATTTTAAAAAAAGAAGAGACACCCTCGTTCTAATTTACTAGTCTCCCCCCCTCACTATGAACACAGTGCTTCTGTCCCCACTGTGGTCCCACCTGACCTGAGCCTTACAACAAGTCACCCACCTGCGACATCCCACTCACCACGCACGTGGCTCCTCTGCAGGACCTCCGCCCAGGTGGAAGCAGGCAATGTACACAGTGAAAAAGGGATTAAATTCATACTGTCCACAGAAGCACAAAAGAATGCCCCCTCTTCAGAGCGACCTCTGACCCCCCCATCATCGCGGCACCGGGGTTCCTACCAGGACCACAAAGTCATGCAGTGTTTCCTGCCAGGCCGTGGGCAGCAACACAAAACGAGCCAACACTGGACAGGGCGCGGCTCCCTACCATCACGCCGTCCCCTCCGATGCACAGACAGCTAGGGGTCCCCCAACACAGACACGTGCCCCTCCACATGCTGGCAGATCACACTTCTTATTCCAAACCATCTCACGCAGGGACTATACAACCACCACACTTCTAGCATCATTACATCACGATCCAGAAAAGCTTACAGCCAAGCGTCCAGGCTGGGGAAGGCGAACCTGGGCGAACCCCTCACAGCATCAGTGTGAGAACAACGTCCATCAAGAAGGTAGTTCTTAGCCGAGGGTGGGTCCCCCGGACCAGCACCCAGCGCGGGGCCAGGCCCACCCCTGGCGGAGAGAAAGGAAGGAGGGTCCTCCCACAGGCCTGCGCATTCCTCATCTCCTCCAGCAGGAGGGAGACCACGGGGTCGGCTTCCCTGAGCACGCAGGGGCGGGGCTGACGCGCCGGGCCGGGGAGCCAGGCGGTGGCGGGGAGAGGGCCTCCGCTACAAAAATCTAGCAGTGACGTCATCTAGAACAGCCCGGGCAGGTGGGAAAGTGCAATGGACCCCCTTCAAGCCTCACCAGCACCTACAACTCATGAGGGATCAAGCGCATTGGATGCTCCGCTACAACAGGTTTTAATTCAGCGAAATTGGTCTCTAAGGGTCTCCCCCAGTGCGGTTAGCCCGAGAGGAAAGGAAGCATTCCCTGCACCATTAAGGCTTTTCCCCAGTGTGAAGCCTCCGGTGTCTAAGGAGGTTGGACGTGCGGGTGAAAGACTTCCCGCACTCATTACACTCGTAAGGCCTCTCTCCCGTGTGCACCCTTTTGTGCTGAATGAGGGCGGAGCTGTGGCTGAAGGACTTGTCACAATAAGCGCACTCATAGGGCCTCTCTCCAGTGTGAACTCGCCAGTGTCTAAGGAGGTTGGACGTGCGGGTGAAAGTTTTCCCGCATTCGTTACACTCGTAAGGTCTCTCTCCAGTGTGCACCCTCTTGTGCTGGATGAGGGCGGAGCTGTGACTGAAGGACTTCCCACAATCACTACACTCATAGGGCCTCTCCCCCGTGTGAACTCGCCAGTGTCTAAGGAGGTTGGACGCCCGGGTAAAAGACTTCCCGCACTCATTGCACTCATAGGGTCTCTCTTCGCTGTGAACACTTTTGTGCTGGATGAGGGAAGAGCTCCGTCTAAAGGCCTTCCCACAATCACTGCACACGTATGGCTTCTCGCCAGTGTGAATTCTTTGGTGTTTAATGAGGTTGAAGTTGTAGATAAAGCGCTTCCCACAAACACCGCATTCATACCGCCTCTCTCCAGTGTGAACCTTCCGGTGCTGAATGAGTATGTAATTGTACCGGAAGCACTTGCCACAATCACCACACTCATACGGCTTTTCCCCCGCGTGAACCTTCTGGTGGTAAATGAGGGCGGAGCTCTGCCTGAAGCACTTCCCGCACTCAGTGCACTGATAGGGCTTCTCTCCAGTGTGAACCCTCTGGTGCTGGATGAGGGCAGAGCTGTTTGTGAAGGTCTTCCCACAATCGCTACACTCATAGGGCCTCTCTCCAGTGTGAACTCTCTTGTGTCGGATGAGGGCAGAGCTGTGGCTGAAGGACTTGCCACAGTCGCTACACCCGTACGGGTTCTCACCAGTATGGATTTTCTCGTGCCTCATGAGATTAAACTTGTAGCTAAAGCATTTCTTACAGAAACTGCACTCGTACGGCTTCTCTTCAGAGTGAATTCTTTGATGCTGGATGAGGGTGTACTTGCAGCTGAAGCATTTCCCACAGACACTGCACTCGTAGGGCTTCCCTTCCGTGTGCACACTCTGGTGTCGGAGGAGGAAAAACTCGCAGCTGAAGCACTTCCCACACACCCCGCACTCGTAGGGCAGCCTCTCCCCCGCATGCACGCTCCTCTGGAGCATGAGGTTAAAGATCTGGATGGAGGCCTTCCCGCACTGGCTACACTCAAACAGCCCTTCTCCGGTGTAGACGCTCTGCTGCGGCAGGTCCTGGCTGTGGAAGGCGGCCTTCTCGCACTCCCCCCACTGGCGAGGCCCCGTCCCACCGTGAACGGGCTGCCAGCTCTCAATGACGCTGTGCGGGCTCCTCGGTGCCCCGCGTGGGCTGGTGCCGGGAGGAGGCCAGTGGGGCTGCGAGGGCCCCCTCCGCCTCCCCAGCGGTGAACAGTGCCCCCGACACCATAGAAACTGATACTGGGCCATGAACGAGGCCCCTGTCCAC